GATCCTTCTGAAAGGCACCTGATTTTAGAGAGAATTCAGTTCTGAGTTTGTTTTCTAAGATGAAGGAACTCTGTGGGTATGGCCCATCGTTACAGCCAATTTTGCTTTATATTGTGACAGGAAGTTCAAATTAGGTCTTGAAGGGCAAAATTTCAGAAGGGTGAACACACTTGCAGTGGATGTTCTTTGGTTATAAAGGACTCAGCTCTGCCACTGCTCCCATCACAAATAGAGGACTCATGCCATTGTCATTTTTCATTTTAGATTCTATCTCATTCCAGAGATTTTCTTTGCTTCTGTCAGGTAATTGCATGTGCTAACAGCTGTTTTAAATTGCTTTGTTAAATGATTGTTTCTGCAGTTGAGTTATCGAAGTGACAAATCAATCAGCAATTTTTTAACTTATTCCAGTTTAATACCATCTGACTGCCTTATCACCCAGCAGTTTGATGGAAAACAAAGAAAATCAGTGTTAAGGGCAAATTGCTTTTTAACTATATGACAATGTTTTTTTCATATGATGTTCTTACTGAATTATATCCTAAAATTACATTTTTTAATATAAAATAGTTTAAAAAAGTATTTCAATTAAACATTGAGATTTTCAAATATACTCAGGTTTTGTATTACAGCTCCTATTTTATTGTATTCTGTAGGCTTTTGGACTACACATTTAGAGAACATAGATTTTTTTATGTATTTATATATTATTTTAATTGTGCCAATAAGGAAGAACTTTAAGGTGCAGTAGTGAAGAAATAGTGTCCAAAAATAATACTGAAAACAGCTTAAATCAGGAAAAGGAAAAGAAAAACTAGATGTTCTCTCCTGAAGTTATGGCTGGACATATGAATGAATGATAGTGTGAAGAAGATTTGAGAATCACAAGTATCCTCTGGAACCACAGCATAAGTTAAAGGTGTCTGTTACTATGGAGGGAAAACATAATGACACAGTTAATTTAGTGACTGTTTAACTGTAATAAGAATGGAATACTACAACCGTGAAATCTCGATTTTTCACATATCAGTGTTAAATTTTAATTCAGCTTTTGAGGTTTGCTGAGAGACCTACTTGGGAAAACAACTGGCCACAGAGAAACAGCTCCCAGTACTGTCTGCCTCCAGTGGGTGTGTATCTGGATGGATCTAGGCATGCTTCCAGGCAATTCTGACAGCTGCTTCCACTCTGGAGGGGATTTGTGTCCTCTGCAGTTAGAGAGTTGAGGTGTATCAAGAAGATTGTAGACGTAACCTGTAGAAGAATAATTCTACCTAGTACCTTATACCTATCAGAGCATTAATTATCATATAAACATGCTGAAGAAACAGATTTTTGTTTTAAAAATACAAAAGTACCCAGAAAATTCCATGTAGGAGAAGATTGGTTCAGCCAGGAGCAAAGAATCATATTTCAGACCATTACAGATTCATGTGTTGTATTTTCTGATTAGTGTTGTTGCAGATGTCAATCAAAAATCTGTCACTAAATCTCCTTGATTTTGTGTTTAGTATAGATTTCCTGCTCCTGTAGACACCTGTAAATGTAGCTGTGTGTGGCCAGGTGCTGTGGAGAATTAAGATTGTCCCTGTTGTGGTTACTGTTTTTTCAGAGAGATTTCCTAAAGGCCATGGTGTCCATTTGTCACCGTGTTTCAGCTGGAGTCTGTGGAAGCACCTCCACTGCCCCTCTGGTAGTGTTTGGCCATGGAGGGCTTTAGATCTTGAAAGCCTGTTCCTGCTCATTTTTTATCTATGGCTGAATAAATGGGTGTCATGAATTACCTAATTATTTTTTCTACAGGGCACAGGAAGTAAATTCCCCAAAAATGGTAAAATGCCTGAGGCTGAATAATATTTGCAGGGTGTGGGGGGGAGTGGGGAACAGAGGAGAAGGGATTGGTTGTGGGTTTATTCTTGTTTGAGTTGAAACAGATGTTAGGAAAAGAAGCCAAAACAAATGAAGAAGTACTATTGCTTTAAGAAATACCTGGTGATGGTGAGGGTACCACAATCATTGCTCAGTTATTGCATTTTTGGCTGATAGATGTCTGCTCCCTATGAATCCTTGAGATACATAAAATTGTGCATCAATGCATTTGAAACATCCTAGTTGCATCTTCACCTTCCAAAAGGTTGCATTGGGAACAATAACTTGAATGCTTCGTGTGAAAAGGGAGTGTGTGGAGAGAGGCTGTTCCTGTGGACAGTGATCCCTGCCCTGCATGGAACAGTGATGCTGAACAGCAAACAGGGAGCAGGGACCAGAGGGAAAAGTCCCAAACCACAGAGGAGTTGTGATCATTGTGAGTGTCCAGCCTGGGACACTACTGCACCTCAGGGTGCTTGCAGAGTCTTACTTTGTGTCTTGTTTCACAATAGTTAGCAGGGAATAAAAATTAAAGCAGTCTGTTTGACACTGTCTGGAGAGGTTTTCTGGGATTACTGGTAAAGAAAAATAACTGGAAATGAAAACATTACTTGGTTTTACTCTGTGCTTTGCAGTGTGTGACGAAGTAATTATGGGGGGTCATTTTGTCCTTTTTCTCTTTCTATCCATGTAGAATGAAATGGGTTAGGTTTATTCCTTATTTTTTTATAAATGAAAGATAAGTGTAATTGAAAATGAGCCTTGCTTTAGCTTTTCTCTGATAAAAACAGTTGTATCTTTATGATGTTGCTTCTGTTCTTACCTAGTAGCAGGGTGAAGAGGGGTAGTGTTTCTGTAGGAAAGGATCTGGAGTTATATTGGACAAAAGATGAATCACTGATATGCTGTTGCAGAAAAACCCCATTCACCACTGCAGGATGTGTAAGGGGTGTGAGGGTGAGTGTAGCTTTTAAGGCACTCGAAATAATCCTTATGCTACAGTCAGCATTTGCAAGGCCTTCAGTTGTGCCCAGTTTAGGATTCTGCATTTGAGGAAGAATGTGGACTAAGATGAGGTGAACCAAATGAAATTAGTGAAAACAGTCAGAGCCCTAGGAAGGAGATTTCACTTGAGGATTGGAGGAAATGAGGTTAATATGTAATGGAGTAAAAGTGGAAAAGACTTCAAGAACTATAATAGAGTTTAGAGGTATAAAAGTCTGCTGTGTAATAGCCTGCTCTCAAAAGCCAGAGAAGAAAAGGAGCAATGGTTTTCAGCTGTGAGATGGACACAAGGAGGACACAGATGGTAAAGATAATCATTGGAATAGTGGGATGAAGCTGTGGGATCTTTAGGAACAGATCAAAGAAACATCTGTCATGAGCGTTAGAGGCACAGTTGAGTCTGTCCCGAAGCATGTAAAGTTTTATGAGGGTCTTGGAGACGCTTCGGATCCTAATTTGGAGCTTTGATGTAGATTTTATTATTTGGCATAAATGGTATTAAGTTATACACTCAGATTAGCTAAATCTTTTGGATCTAAATGACTGTATTAAGCAATGAATGAAGTTTCTTACTGCCAGGAAATAGTCCTATTTCTACCCTAGATCTTGTCTCTGCCTTGGTGTTCTTTCTGTAGTTCTGCATATGAACATATGAACGTGCAGGGTCTCTTTTTGTGCCATGATTAACTAATTGAATCTCTAGGCTTCACCTTGCCTTTTGCCTCCATTTGAATGCTCTAAGTGGGTCTATATGACTTTGTATTTTAATGAGTCCTCTGTATCACCTTCTGTATGTGAGTTAGAGATTGGCCCTTCCACTGTTTGCTGTTGATGCTGATGATTCATTATTCCCTGGCTGAGGGGCTGGCCAACAAGACAGAAGACTGACCAGATCAGCAAGAGCAGATCTGGCTCTCAGTGTAAGCTATTAAATGACTGAAACTTGTTGGCCCATTTATTGCCTACCTGGTTTCCATGGCTGGCATTTTCATCTTCAAATAAAGGTCACTTCAGGAGCATGCAATTACAGTGGCAGGAGTAAATCTGCACCTTTCTATCATTTTTTTCAGTATTGTTGGGAAAAAGGGAGCAATGCATTGATTTTTATAGCATGGAAGTTATTTTATGCACTGGCAGTCACTGAAATACTCTTTTAAACTTAGATCCTACGGAGTGTTCTTTACACGGTGAGTGTTTTTACTTATGGTATTGTAACAATTTTGATTTTGTTTTTCATCTGCTCCCTCTGCTGCTTTTTCTCAAATGCTTTTGCTGGCTGTTCAGAATACTAACTGAGCCACATAATTGCCACAAGTACAACAGCTATGCAATTGCTGTACAAGGATTGTAGCAGCTTTGAAATGTAGTCAGCATGCTAAATCAGTGTTTGTTTTCACTGGCTGTTGGGAAAGTAAATACAAATCTAGTGATTGGAAGAGAGATGAATGGTTTGTTTTTAATTATGCCGTTGCTAAAAATGTTTCCATTTTAATTCAGGTGTTTCTTTTATTTTATTCTACTTAGTAAACAAATACTGTATGTTCTATTTTAAATGTCTTGGATTTTTTTAAAAAACATGGGCCATACATCAGCAGAAGGTGGAATGCCCAGGTGTAATCACCACTTTTCTGTAAATCTAAAAATGTTTCAGATGCCTGAAGTATCTGACACAGGCTAACAGTCTCTATTTCATACTGAAGTTGAATTTGTTTTAACCCACAACCCCAAGCTGTAGATTTCAGCTACTGAGAGCAATGACATTTCTGTGTGGTGTTGTTTTTAATCAGATGTCTCCTTCATAGTATCTTTCTTGTGATGGCTGTAGCTTGGAGTCCACTGTGAAAGCAGTAATTTGTCTTTTCTTTCTGGGAACTGTAAAATCGAATATCAATATTTCCGAGGAAATATCTAATAGCAAAGAAGGGGAGGGAAGATAGTTTTTCCTGTAACTGTTCTCTTTGCAGATTGCTTTAAAAAAATATTACAAGCTAAATGAGTTCCACACGGTTATTTGAGACCACATTAATTGATAGCAGTTGACAGTGATTATTATCACATTCCTAAAAACTTGGTGTCCTTCGTGTCCCTGAGTGGAGAGATGATATTCTGCTGCCTGTCTCTTGCAGGACCTGTTGTTCAGTGTGTGCGCTCTCAATATCATCTCCACCATTGTCTGTGCTTTGGCAACAGCAATGTGTTGCATGCAGATGGTTTCTTCTGATCTTCTGCAAATGGTGAGTATGTTTCAGTGACAGCACAGGATATTGTCCAGCATAACATATTGTCCTTATCTGTCTCTGTTCATTTGCACCTACTCTTTGCTTGTAAACTTAAGCCTATTCGCGTGTCTTTTTGTGCTGTTAGAACGTGTGTGCACATGGGTGTATTTTTTTTATCTGCATACATCTGTATAATATAGCATATAGATGTATGCAGTATGAATAGTTACTGTGTTTTAAATGTTTATGTATTATATTAGAGGGTTTTAATCAGGATTTTGCAATTGGGAGGATGTTATTTTTGTTAATGAGGTTATTAACGGGGTTCAGTTATATAAGCACAATAAATTTTCTCTCATTACTTGTGTATTATCTCTGGTTTCCTCACTCTCCAGTACCATTACTTAGCTCTGAGATACTAGTTTTCGCTACTACCTTGATATGAGAATGACAGAGAATGAGATGTATAAGTTCAAACCTGGAACTTTTCATAGCCCTGTGCCAATAACAGTATTTTCATAAGGAAAACGTATTCAGCTTCAGAGCAGCACTTGTGTTCAAAACAAGAGGGAAAAGGATCATTAGTCTTCTGCATAGTCAGCTGCATCCCAGGATACTCTCTTGTTTTGGTTGGACAAAGGCAGCTTTCCTATCCCAAATGAGCACTGGAATTTGCAAGGTTTCAATGTGATGTTGAGACACAAAAAAAGAAGAAAAATTTAAAAACCTTTGTATTTTGCAGTCCAGCTATACTGCTTCTAACCTCTCTCTATTGCTGGCTAATCTAGGAAATCATCCTGTTTAGTAAGTGAGGACAAGCACACAAACCTGATAGCAGTCATTAGTGCATCAAGTATTTTAAAAGTTTGCATAGATAGAAGACTGGCCCAGCAAGTTGTCTTCAAACCACTTAAACAACACAGAAACGTTGTATGACCTGCCATGAAGGCATGTGATTGCTTTAAAAATAAATAAATAAATAAACAAACAAATATAAATACAGTAGGTGCCATGGATATAAGTGCATGAGTCACAGAGATAAGGCTGTCTTTTCTAGGCAAGTGTTCCAGTCCCTGGGTTACAAACTCAGTTAAAGAATATCTTTGGTCTGTGATCTGGTGTTTGCTTCATATAGTAATGGATATAGCAAGTTAAGGACATGTGTCTATACAATGACTACAAATAGTGCATAAATGCATTTTTTCTTATAGCACTCTATGTGTGCATATTGTGCATGTTGGTAGAGACTTGTAAATGGTGCTTATATAATAACTTTGGTCTGGATATCAAGCAATTGACAGAAAGAATCGTTTCAGCTGATGACACATTGTACTTTAAATGTTAAAGGATTTTTTTGATATTCTGGGTATTTTTTCTTTTCATACACTCTCCCCCTCCATGATATTTGCTGCAAGAATGCCCACTGACTAAAGAACTTTTTCACCTTGCAGTGATGATGAGGAGATGAAGAGATCATCATACCTTCAAAAATACGTCTAGTGTAGAATGGTAGCAGTGATCCAGAACTGTAGCCATATATATCCCAGGAATCTTAACCTACATTTAATTTAATGTTATTTAGCAGTGTAAGAGGAATAAAAATGTATAGATAACAATGAACCAAAAACAATGTCAAATACTTCTGAGGGGCATGTGCAAGAAGCAGTAATCTCAATAGGAAGTCAAATTCCTTAAAAGGACATTATTTTTCTCTCTGCCACCTCATTCTTGGCATCTTTTAAACTCTTTCTTTACCACCTGGCATTATGTTCATTTCCTTTTGCTTCCCATGCTTTGTGCTTCCAGCTTTTTTTCTTCCTGCTTAGTTGTCCGTGCTCCCACCCTTTCAGCTCCATCGACAAGAATTTTCTTCCCTCTCCACAGAAGAAGGGCAATATGTGTATATCTTTCTGCTCAATCCCAATCTTCTCTTGTTTCTCAGTTTTTCCCTTTCTTTTTTCAGGTTGCTGAGCCAGATTCCTACCGGGCCTAAGTGAGCGTAACTTCCCTGGGGCTACGCTGACTTAGACCAGCTGAGATTTGACCTGAAGATTTCTTTTTCTTTCACTATTTTCAGCCTGTTGTCCCATGACCTGCAGTTCCCTTTTGCTCTACTGCACCCAGAAATCTGATTTACTTCCTTTTTCTTGCTTGTTAATGCTTGATTTGTGCTTTTCCCTCTCACTTTTCCCTGATGTGTGCATCTTCTCTTAGCCCGGTTGTACCATGCTGGAAGTTTAAGACAAGCAGCAGCAAGAGATACCACCCCCTTAGATGAAAAAGTTTTAATTATTCTGCTGATGCTTTTACTCTTGTTCTACAGTATTCAAGAGCTATGAAGGCTCTCCTGTAGCTAAAGCAAGAAGAGGCAATAGGGAACACCCTCCTTGGCCATGGCTGGGTTATCGTTAGAGCATCAGTTCTGTGGTTCACGTGCTGTGTTGGTGTTCTTGGCTCAGAATTTGATCAGTTAGGATGGTGAATTTTTGCAAATGTCAAACAATTTCAATTTATTGCTTAGCAACATAAATTAGGTGTATAATGCAGTCTCAGGGAAATCTACAGCAGTGATTCTGTGAGTAGATGCTTTGTTGCTGAGTTTTGCATACAGTGAGGGTCTGATTCAAACAAGCAAGCTGACAGTGTTTGATTGGAAACTGTCTTCTGACATACTGATCTTTAGTAAAAATGTCCTAAAAAATGTAAACACAAGCTCTCCAATAGTAAGCACAGTTTAAATTTTCCAATGAATTCAAAAAGGGGATTTTGGTTTAAAAATAATCCTACCTAACAGACATTTGGTTTCAAGTGTTAAGGAAAAAATACTGCAAAATATTGCAAACTATTTTTTTTGCTTTATATTTTATTTCGTATTTTATTCTAGATTGTTCCTTATTTGCCTTGACTGTTTCAGAAAGTATCCCAAATTTTTCACTTCACTTTAACCTTTCTCACTGTGTTGCTCAGGCCAAAAAACCCATACCAATTGTACTAAAGGTGCAAGAGTAAGCAATACCATAGTTAAATACTGAAATAGCATTTGCTACGTGTTTCACAAGACAGTTTAAGGCTGCACTGCATTACAGAGCTTCCCAGAATTGTTTATTCTATGTACACACCCCTCCAGGAGATAAATGTGAATCAAATGAGATTATATCGAGGTTCTGTAATGTGAAGAAACCTCTCTTAATAACCAAACTGTCACTTCCATTATATTTCATTTGTTGCCTAAGGCAGTTTCAGTTTGCATTTTGTCTGATGAATGGCTACTGCAAAAATGCACCCTGCTTTCTTCAAAAGGTAGCTGCCTGAACTAAACAAATAAATACAAGAAATGATGCCCACTGTGGCCAAGCTAAATCATGAAGTAATACACCTATTCCACTCCTCCTTCCACTCCACATATGTTCATACAGTACTTATCCTACAAGTACTGGCACTGATACAATTCAGTGTGTTCTGATTTTATCACCATCCCTGTTAGTAGCTGTTCATGTTATTTGATACCTAAAACCATCTGTTATTTTGTAAAGGAAATAAGGTAATGATGACACATGCAAGCTGTAACATTTAATTACTGTTTTCATCAGTCATAATGATAATTCAGCATGTGATTAACTTAATAGGCTCTAGTTAATATTTCTACTCAAACACCTCACATAAAGCACCTCTGCATGAGGATAACATCTTGCTGGTATTGTTTAACCCCCACATCCTGGTGAAATAGTAATAAACCCTTCAGGGTGGAGCTTCACACTAAGTCAAAATTGATTGTACATTATTACATATTATTATTTAATCTAATTACATCAAACCCTAAATATTAGGGGTTTTGGCACAAAGTTCACTTACAGGTACTGTAAAGCCCAGAGGACAGTGCCTTTAGAAATGTGCATTGTGAATTATATACATCCATAGAAAGATCCTAAATGTAAATATGGTTGGGTAAATATTCCCTTCACGTCTACCACAAATAAAATGGTAAAATGCAAACCTTTGGTTCAGAAAGGCTTTTGACATCTTTAACAAACTTGCTTTTTTTCATGAAACATTTTTTGGTAGAATAAGTATATTTAATATTTAAGACTATTTAAAATATGGTCACTGCTTTGAGAAAGATTATGTTGTCACAGACCAATCCCCCTGAGACTACAGAGCTAATGGTTTGTGATGGTTGTAGGAACAGCAACTGGAAACAATGGAGCAGAAAAATTTGAATCTGTTTGCCTTATCAAAATACCTGCAGTGTTGCAATTTCCCTTTAAGATCAGGGACAAATTAGAAGAGTCAACAATGGTCCTTCTATTCTTGCAGACAATTAGAAGCTACATTTCCCTTTAGGAGATACTGATTCCAGTGTTTCAGAAAAGGAAAACAGCAACCTGTCCAGGAGGAGGACAGTTAATTGAAGACAGAATTATAGACCCGAGTGTATTGCAAAGAGCTTCTACTCAAGATAACATGCCAATATTTAATTATGTGCAATTAGAAATTTTTATTTCCTATAAATGACATATAGAGACTGAAATGAAAATAATGAATTTAGGGTCTCCAAAGGATGCATTTGGAAGTTATACAGTACATTTATTAAATGTGATGTAGAAGGCAGAGGTAATTACATGCAGATATGGGAAGGACTCCAGATAAGAAGTTTCCCTTAGAGCACTAGTCGTGTGCTGACGTGTGGCACTTGCTGGTTTAGATAAGTCATAATTGCTGAGCAGTGAATCCCAGCAGTGTCATTTCCATGGGCCAGTAGTGCTGATCATCTGCAGGATACATGGACTAGAGAGTGTCTGTTGATGTTCAGGGGGGGTGTCCCATATCTGGGAATACTGATGAAGAGTTCCTAATCTCACAGATCTTGGGCAGAAGGATGTACACATGGTACCACATGAGTAACTGTTTCATTAGAGAATTATATTTACAGGTCTTACCTGCTGTTTGTTCAGCTCCTTAACTGGGGCTCCTCCATCAGCTCTTACTTCAATGTAATCAAAATATTCAGAACATAAATAATAAACTCTAATCATTCTGGTCACTTCAGTGACCAACTTTTAGATGACCTGTCAGTGAAGAGCTCGATGTTCAGTCTGGCAAAAGAGAATGAGTTTTCCAATCTTATTCATCTCTGTCTAATGGTGTTCATTTCACCTTGGAGAGTTAAACACTGGGCACAGAGCTGTGTAATTGTGCCCAGCACTGCCTTCCTGGCTGGGAAGGGGCAGCTGCAGTGCCTTGCTGCAGGCTGGAAGGGGCAGAGGGGTCACTGGTGTCCAGCCCCCGGCGTTGCCTCTGTGCAGTTCTCAGTGCTATAGTACACGGGCCTGGGAGCAAACCTACATTTTCAAAAAACTTTTGCCTCTTCTGGAAGTGGGGTACTTCTAACATTTGTGTTTCTGATTCTCTGCTTGCTAACAACTTGCTGCTGAGGACTAACTGCTGTTTTGAATAAGAAGTGGGTACAAAACCACAGTGTTTTACAGCTTTCTTGTTTGCTCTGCTGCAACCAGATGTTTTATCCTTCCCTCATAATTGCAAACTAAATAACAAAATAAGTGGTCCTCATCATCAGAGCTGTTTAAATAAGGCTGTTCCACTCTGTCCAAGTTAGAGGTGCCCAATTAAAACACAGAGAATTCCGTGTGCAGTGTGTGCACTACCTTGCACATCATTTAGCACGTGCTCCCATCTGTGTAACGGCCTCTTAGTGTCAGACGTGTTTCACAGACTAAAGTAAGGCCCTCTTTTGACCAAGGATGAGAGGACACCTGGATGAGTGTAACAGTTTGAGTGCCAAGCTTCAAACACAAGGTTAGTGATTTCCTAAAAGAAGAGCATGAATTCTAGATCTGTATTTCGTTGCCTGTGAGATTTCTGAAAGCTCTCAGCATCCAACAGCTCCAGGAGGTCAACAGAAATGGTGGAGTCTTTCACATTTCCAGAGCTGGGGGCTTTCTATTTATGCCTAGTAAATGTGTTTGAAATATTAATTGATAACTACAAAGTTTTGCAAAGCTTTTTAACACTGTTGGGTATTTAGTGTTTACCAGTGGTGCTGTTTGCTGTTTATCCTTGTCTGCAACCATTTTCTGTCTGTTGCTTCTGCAGTGGCCATTAGTTTATTCCCAAAAGCCTGTCTAGGAGACCTGCTCGTGAGAGTTGTTTCATAGTGTGTGAGTTGTGTCATAGTGTGAGCTGCAGTTGAAATGACATTGAGTGCAACTTGATCTTGTTTGTACTGGTGACTGAACAGACCACCCCCATTTTCTGTCTGGCAGTTCTTGTTATTATCTGTCCTACTTGCCATCAGCATCTTGAGACTGATTATTTAGTTACAGATGTCTTATAATACCAATGATGTGTGTTTCCTTGTGAAAGTATTTGTCAGTGTTTCTTCACCTAGTCCAACTTTCTCAGCCCTTTGCATTTTCTTCCTGTGTCTTTTTCTGACCTGTGGAATTTGCATTAAATCTGTGCTGAGCCCCTGACAGCCTTCACTATTTAAGACTAACCCTTACAGATTTTTGAAATACATTTTATTGCAGAAAGAATAAGCTTTTGCAGGCTTGTAGAGATTAGTAGGTAGAGTTGTATGGAATAAGATATGATTTAACTCCCACTTAGTAGCTTTCCAATTGCTTTCTGAAGGGTGTCTGTTCTTTGTGGTAATCCCTTATATTTGCTATTGTTTCATTTCCTGCTAGTTTCCCTCTTACAGCCTTTTTCACTTTAATTTCTGTGCCTTCCAGCAGGATGATATCACACAGGTAAACTGTTGTTTATAAACACCCCCCCCAAATGTGCATTTTCATGTCCATTCTGCTGCTCACTATCAGTGTTGGTCACAGTTCGCTGCCATGGTTTGTATTCCCAGTGGCGGTTCTTGAAAGGGATGCAAATGGTCCTGCTGTTCAACTGAACTGCACCTAAACATTAGGGCTTTTCCTTCTTGAACCACAGCCCCTTCTGCCCTGTGTAAAGCCTCTCCCTCCTGTCACATTCCCCCAAATGTGTGCTGATGGTTCCCTTGCTGTCCAAGTGCCGTGTGTTTAATTGCCGTGTCCTGACCTGTGTTAAGAGCATCACTCCCAATACGTGGCTGAATGAAACCAGCTCCAGGGAACTCCAGAACTGGAGGGATGGAGTTCCATGTTCTCTGGTGCCAACCAAAACCTGGGTTCCATGCCAGTATATGGAAACAGTCTGGGAGAGAGTCAGGAAAGAAAATTGTTTGGTTTCCAGACAGCAAAAATGACCCCAAATTACCAACTCATCCAGGAAAATGAGTGCAGTCCTGGGTCTGGTGGAATCAAGTAGGGTACAAAATGTGACCCAGAGTATACAGATATTTGTCTCCATTATGATAAATTTTTATACCGATTTTCAGTAATTAAGTTGAAGTTTGTCTTGCTTCTTTTTTTTCCTAAAAGATTCTTCCATGTATTTGGGACAGTGGCAGACTGATGATTGCAGAACTTAGGGCAGAAGTTTGGAGTTTAATGGTTAATGTTAATGTAATATTACAGTTTGGGAAATGGCTGTTTAAAGATCAGGTGAGTTTAGACCAAATGACTGCAAGAATGTGTTTTTTTTCTGTAAGACAAATATAGAAATGTCTGATTGTACCTGGGATAATGGCATCCCACCTCACATGAAAGATGAAAGAGCATCAGACATTTCATGTAACAATGAGTAAATCAAGTTGATGTCTCATGTCTTTTTTTCTATACTGTGCCATCAGTAGAACACAATGGCTGAGAGTCCTTGGCTTGCTGTAAGATGTAATGATATAATGATATAATATACTCTGCAGAGGAGGTTCTCTATTAATAGTTACATGTGAAAATGTCTCTGGAGAGCTGATTAGTAAGCAGCTAATAGTTCATTTTCACAAATGGTTGAAGTTGGTCCTCCTGACTCTGTTGTGTTGTGTTACTACAGCTTTGACCTTTGAAACAACATACATGGAGTTTAATAGAATTAAGATGTAACTCAACCTTTTAAACACCAAAGACCAGTATCATTTCTTTGGTAATGTAAATTCAGCAGAACTACACAAAGTTAAATTTTAAAAAGTGAACGATGTAAAAACAGTGATATTAAAATTGAAGGTAATTTACCTTCTATTTGCTGGATCTCCTAAGTTATAAGCATTTTCCCTTTTGTTTCACTGCTTCCTAAATTTTTATCACAGGTTTAAACAAATAATAATGTAATGAGCAAACCTACAAAGACAATGTTGTCTTGTTCCAGTATAAAAAAGGAATGTGCCTTCAGCAAAGTTTCTTAGCTGACTTGTTTTAAAAGGCAGGAGATAAAGATCAAGTCAGCTACTGATCCAAGAAAAGTGATATGACAGCAGAAGCTTGCCTAGAGAAAAAAAAATTCTTTTGTGGTTTTGGATTGTCTTTTGATCCCCTTTTATCCGTGGGGACCATGAAGAGCCAGGTCAAGGTGGCTGCATTCCATGTGATCTGCAGCATGGTCCATATTTAATCTTGAATTAGCTTAAGCCTTTCCTAGGGCACTTGTTTACAGTGTTTCTGAGATCAAAGGTATTGGAATGGCTTCCTTAAATCCCTGCTCTGCTAGAAGCTGATGAGGTTGCTGTCACAAATGTTGACAGTAATTCTCAGTATTATTAATTTTTATTGTTCAGTGTAGTTGTTTTCTTTTTGGTTTTGAGATGTTTATATGGAATAAGTGTTTTTCTTACTTTCATTCCAGCATTTAAAACCTTTATGCCACATTTAAGTGTGCAGTGTATCACCAAACACAGACAGCTATTAAGTATATATATTTTTTACAAGAATAATAAAGAATAGTTATAAATCGCCCTTTTGTTGGAAGGGAAAAATAGGTGGGCTATTTTTAGTTGTTTGATTCAAAATTCAATGAATGTGTGGTAGCCTATTTCTAGTTAGTCTTGTTTGGGTTTGTTTTGGGGGGTGGCATTTGAATTTTTTTCCCCTGTAAGTGCAGGGCACTTCAGATGGGGAAAAAAAAAGTTGTTATTTTAGTAGTTTTTTCTATTGTTCATCAGTTACTAAAATACAGCTGATTATGTGGTACTATCATAAAATTGTATACAATGTAGAATTATTTCCTGAAAAGATATTTAATTTTCAATGTCTGTGTTCTGCATCCTAAGAGTGACTGACTTGGAGGCCCAAGGCCTCTCTGTCTTTAGTCAAACCTTGTGTTGTGTTTTGGCAATCTGACTTACCCTTCTCAACTGATCCCAAGTATTCTTATGGTTCCAGAAGTGCCTCTTTGATTTCAGTGTGGTTATTAATGAAACTGGATATTGGTCAGGGATGGTAATACTGCAATTTTATGGACGTTTTTATTATCAGTGATGATGTTTCTGCCACCTGAAGGAACTTGACCTGTTCATTTTCAGTTTCTGCCACAGAGGCCGCATTCTACCAACCCTGACTGCATGACTCCACACGGGACTGTCCTGCATCAAACCTTGGATTTTGATGAGTTCATACCACCAATCCCACCTCCACCCTACTACCCCCCAGAATACACCTGCACACCAGTGGTAGAGGCACAGAGGTGATTCTTCTTCCCTTTCTTACAGTCAGGGTGTAGTTCTGAGACTAAGAAGCAGACCAGTGGTTCTGCAGACTGAGAAGATCTTTCAAAGAATATGAAGGCAAATCATGTCCTTCACTTACACTGAGTGCTTTTTTCCAGAGACATTACATATGGTTTTTTTGCAAACTTGTCAGGCTACATCTGGAAATACTTGTGTTAAAGCTTTGCTGTAAAAGAGAAATGATTGAACTTAGCTAAGACAAGAATAACCATATCTGAACTTAAAACAGAGATCGTCTTATAGGTGACCCTTTCACAATTAACATTATACACTTGAAGTTGAATATGAGATTTAATTCTTTAAGAAAGTCATTGTAGTTTAAATGTGTTAATGTGGAATAGTGAAGGACATTAATGATGACAAAACAGGCTGGTAGAGATGGCTGGCATCCTAAATGAAATAGAGTTTTTAAAGCTACTCTGTGAACTAGGGCTTCATTTTGGTTGTCTGATAAATTTCTTCAGTTTAATTCTCTGTAGTGTATTGGCTTTGAACTCAGAGAAGGCTTTACATCACTGTGGTGTAGATAATAGTTTACTAAACAAATCCAATGCCATTTCTTAAGTTTGCTTGTTTGTGTTTTTATACAGAGGTCTCCACTTGGACTTTCCTCATTCCCCGTTCGGTGCTTTGTATGAAGTAACCATTAATAGCCCGGGAATGCTGTATCCAAGTGAGCTGCCCCCTCCTTATGAGGCAGTGATGGGAGAGATGCCTGCCAGTCAGGTAAGGAAAGCCAGAAGAAATAGTCTTCAGATTTCCATGATGCAAAACAGTTCTAGATAAATTTTGAGGAACAGCCATTAGAAAATACTTATATTCTTTAAAAACATTTTTCAGACCATTTTCTTTAAAAAGGTTTAACTAACACTTAATGTGTATTTTCCTTGTGTTCTTGTGCATGATTTCATCCATTAAAAAAGTTGAATGATACTGGGCTGTCAGTAACAAAAACCTAGAAGAATGGATTGGAATCACAGAAGCATGGTGTTTTTCCTTATTTGAGAAGGATAATAGTGTTTTAAAATAACATTACACTTCTCAATTCTTATAGGTAATAAGTAGTATTGATTAGGGAGCAAGCAGGTTTATTTTCTTAAAAACCCTTAAAGTTGTAAAATATTTTTTATTCCAACTACTGCTAACATTGGATTTGCCTCACTGTAATATCCTGCATTTCGTGGCAGCTCAACACGACAGTGTGGGTTTAGTAAGGAAAAAGGTAACTGTGTGTCTTGTGACATGCAACGCTAATAACTTGTGGGTTTTGGGTATGTGTATGTGTAGCCCAGTGCTCAGGAACACTTGGATTTGCCCTGTGTGTGTGATCCAAGCCAAGATAATTATGAATTGCCATTTTACACTCTGTGTGTAGCTCGAACGTGGTCTTGAAAATTCCTAAAAAAAAAAATCTCTGTAAATAACCTCAGATTAACACAGTTAATATTTTCAGTTCCCTGCTTTTGTCAGATTTCAGGTCATGTGCTGGAAAAATCCTGGAAGCATCTGATAATGGTATAGATTGTCAGAATGGTGTGCTCTAGTGTTGACAGGATGCCTTGAACCCAGTGCCAAATTTATGCTTTAGTAGTTGCAAAGTTGCAAAGATTTGAATGATAAAGAGATAGGGACTTATTCTTCCTATGAAACAGCAGCGAGTAGTTCCCTATTTATTGATTAACCTTTTGACTTTACAGCTTCTAATAAACAGCTGTTATGTGGCAGAAATGCTACTCCTGAGAGTGCAGAATACCTTTATCCTGAACTTTGAGAAAGGATCCAGTATACTTCAGACAAATATTGATATTACACTTTTTGCCTTATTTTGTACTGTACAGTATCGACTCAGCTAAAACTGGAATTATAATGTATCTGTATATACAGCCAGAGCTAATTTGAGCAAAGTTTGGCTTGAAGTGATTTGTGTTAATTGAATCAACTATCACAAAGGGGAAAATACTTAAAATTGCTTTTAGAAGCTGTAATTTCTTGCAGGCTCCAGGAGTCAAACACTCTAGATAGTGCTTATGAGTGGTTAATAGTGCACTGTGGAAATACTTATGTTCAGGTTTCCAAACTGTACCCACAATACAGAGGGGACTACCTTTTCTTTCCCCAAAATATAACCCTGAAAAGTTTGCTAGTGATTTATTTCCCACTGGGGGAAACCACAATTGAAACTCAAACTGAAAAAAAATTACATAAATTTTTACTATTATAAACAAGAAGATTATTAAAATAATTAGTACAAATGTCTGAGAAAAAAGAAGACTGAGATGCAAAGCCCACAAAAAGGTGCAATTGGATACCTCCAAGATATGCCTACCTTGCCATGATAAACATTGCACTACTTTTCATTTATTTGGCTATAACTAAATGAATCAGCATAAACTGAGTGTGATCACTGTGAGTGTTGCTCTTTGCTGTACAACAAAATGAGAGTTTTCAAGGCCATCTCCTTTCTAAAATATTTTTATCCAAGTTCCATCCTTTTTCTTCTGCAGTAACTTAGATAAACCTGCAAGTCTTGGAGAAGACTTTTTGGTGATAAAAAAAACTGGCAAAAGTGATATGAATCATGCATGGTCTGGAGGGAAAGAGAAGCATCATATCTGTGATGAGAATTCATATGTGGTACTAAGTAAGAATTAGGAAAGTGTCTATTTATAGTTAAGCACAAAATCATTTTGAGCACTCTTGTAATTGAGACTACTCTTTGCATGAACATCAACATCTAGCAGCACAATAACACCAGCACATAACAAAAATATAATTTAACATCAGTAATTTGAAGATGCACTGTCATGCCCTTGCAAGAAGAGTTTGAGCCTTAATAAGTAGATGTATTCACTGTTAGGTTTTTTTGACATCTGGGGTCAGTCTCAGCATCTTGTCTGTTCATCTCTGGTCACCTGAGTTCCAGAAGTGTTTCTTCTCCTCACCAATGAAAATGAGTGGTGACTTTTCCTTTGGAATGGTGATAATTGTCTAGTTCCTTACCAGCAGGGAGTTTATGTGTGTCTGGTGGTTGCTGGTTCAGAGAGCTTGTAGGAGCAAACTGATGCCAGGTGCTGCCCAGCAGTGAGGTTCCCTGGCAGTGACAACCAGAGCCCACACAGTGATGCTGGAGCCATGGACTTTTCTTGACAGCAGAAGCTCTAATGTAGTTCTGCAGTTAGTGTCCCAGTTAAGCTGTAGATGGAGAATGGAGCCAAAGTCTGAGACAGTTTTAGGTCTACAAGGGGAACAAAATGGAGACCTGAATTCTTACATAATGGAAGTGCTCTCATAGAACATGCACCAAGCACAGCACAGTATGAACTGAAATAATGAGATTTATAAATCCCTCAGAGGCAGACTTTGCCATGGAAATCATGGCAGATTTAGCTATAAAAGTGCTTCTGGGAACCATTATGTAATAATGTCATAACTGTAAAACCTTTTACTGAGCATCAAGCCATAGGTTTTATTTGTTTTTAAGTGGATTGAGGTCCTTAGAATTTTATTAAATTATGTCAAATTAGACTCAATAGTTCATTAATTTCATGAGCAACAAATGTCAGTGCTAATTTATGTGATTGCATCAATGTAAACACTACTGTTGTCATCTATATGGATTAAGAATTCCCATTCCACGACTATGAAAAAAAGTGGTTTTCACACACAGTTTTCCATGCAAAGTATCGACTAGGATATAGAAAAGATGAGAACAAACAGATCAGGGTTCAGTGACTGTTTTTATAAGGTTTGCTCACCAGCAGGCTCTGCAGGCTTGTTAAAAGCACCATTTTTCCTGCGTTTTCCTGTTGAAAGCTCAGTGACTGTCTTTACCACCTTTGTGTCTGAGGATCTGCAGCCAATAAGGTTTTATTACCCCTGGCTGAGCAGGAACCTGTATGAAACCATGTGCCGTCTCTACGTGAACCACAGCTCTGACCTGGCTTAAAAATTGTCAGTGTTACCTCCTACAATTAAAACTGTGGTTCTCCTTCCCCCCAGGCAAGAAAGTTAATCAACCAGATGCATATAAAATACATTCAGCAGTTACCCTGAGAGAATCTAGTGTCAATAAATGTTTCAGCACAAATATTCAGCAGATATTTTTCAGTCAGCAATCAAGTTTATGAAAGCACCTGGGTTGAGAATTTATGAAAGTGCCTAGAACCCCTAGATTTATAAAAAGAAACAAACACCCTTAAAACATTATACTGTTTGTTCCAAAATGTAGTTAGTCTGAATTTTCTCCAACAACAAAGAGAATTTGAGAACACTTCTTACTTTTCCAGTTAGTTCCCAGGAACGATCTGCAGCTTGAAGGGACACCACATTTTACTTTTTACAGCTGATGTGATATTCTGCCACAAAAAAGATCTTAAAGAAATTTCCAGGGGAATTGTTTAAAAATATGAGTGGTTACACATTTTCTTCTCAGTCCTCTATCCATCTGTTGCTGAGTTTAAGTATTTCTGGCACTGTTCTTTATTTAGAGTTGTATTTACTAACGCTTAAACTTAAAATCACTTTTAAAAACTGAATTTGTATCACAAAAATTTTCCTAATCACTTGCTCACAGTAAGCTATAGATAGGTAGGTAGATAGATAGATAGATAGATAGATAGATAGGGAAAAATAAAATATTGAGCACAGTAAGTTATATGTATATTTGTGTGCTTTAATCTACACTGGCATGTGAAATGGAAGCTCTTTTCTTAATAGCTTCAGACTAATTGTGTCACAGGCAATTTTTAGAAGGCCAGATACAAATTAAGTGCTTGACACAAAGGTGCACACAGAAGGGACTGATGCTTATTTCTAGACTGTCACCAACCATAATTAGCTTTACTAGTTGATTGTGACCCTACAGACAAAAGGAGATATGGTGCTTTCTGCTAAAGATGGTATCAATCTCATTCCTTTCAACCTTTTTTATTGTTATCAGCTATTTATTGGAATAATTTTTTTATAATCACATTCCCGAAGAACTGCCAAAAATCAATTGAAATTGGCGACAAGGTCCAATCCAAAGACTATTCAAATCAATAGAAATAAAATTTCCTAAATTTCAGGTGTTTATGGGTGCAGTATTTCCAGGAGAACTGATTCTGTATTTTGTTCTCATGATTCTCAAAAGCGAAGGGCAGTTACCCACTTATGTCCATCCCTTCAGAAAAAAGGTGAGTTATAATATTCTCAGCATTCTAGAGAGCACTCTGCACCAGCCCCTTGGGTGGCAATGACGTTATAGGGCTTAAAAACCACCAGGAGTAAACATCCCTGCATATAACCAACACGAAATACTGCTCTTGGGCTTGCTTTTGTGGTTTCTGTTTTCCTCTCTCCTATTTTAGGGTGATATGATGTGAAAATAACCCAAACATAATATGGAAAAATGCAGACTGTAGAAACAGAGTTTACTTGTAACAAACCCATTAGATTCTCAAAAAGTGAAAGTTGTGTTAAGTACATTCCTTTGCCCTGCATTTGGTTCCTGATTCAAAGATGTTGTAAAACACTTTAAATTATTTTCAATCTGAATAGCAGCTGATATGAAAGCTATTCAATGTTGTCAGGTATATGCTGCAGATCAGCAGTGCTACACTTTGTTTGGTACAATCCAGATTAACGTGCTGTTTTCACTAAAAATGTTCATTTAGGTCTCTGGTACCACCCAGCAAGTGTCTGACTCAGCCCTGGGGGAGAGGAACGTGACCCCGGACTTCAGCACACAAGGTGATCGTGGCACTGCCTTTGTCTACTTAAAGATGGAGTAGGAGTTTTGAGTGGACTTTTCCTTCTCCTCTGCCCTTCCCAGTGGAGACAGAAGGATTTGCTTTCAGATTATTCATGGCAAGATGAACCTTTTCACAGTCAAGAGACTGATGTGGCTGGAAATGCAGAGCAGAGTTTTGCTAAACCAAGCGTGGTCTCTAAAGCCCTTCGAGCAGATATGGTGACTGACTGTCCTTTCTCTTTGAAGAGTCCTGCCCATACCTGCAGCTTGTTTCTCATTGTCAGCAGCCACAGGTGCCCTCCTGATAGTCCCCCCAGGCCTTCTCCATATGGTAGTTTCATGCATGGCTTCCAGAAGCCTGAATGGAAGCTTGCTGCCTGAAGCACAGATGTTGGGAATGCAAGTAGATGAGTAGTAGCAGCATAGAGCCTGTTTGTTTAAAGTTTAAAAGTCAGTACCCTTGCCATGTGTGTTGCTGCAGAGAGGCTTTTTAAACACTGCAGCCTCAGTTGGTATGAAACACCAGTTAAATTTCCATTAAATGCTTTTCCTCTTCATATTCATATTGCATTAATAAGCAGACTGGCACGTGTTCTCAGTACACTCTGGGCAGAGAGGTGGTGGCAGAGTGGTCCAGGAAACACAAATGGTGCTCTCTTGCCCAGCCTCCAGCATGGGACTGACAAGCCTGGCAGATCAGTGCAGAGCATCTGTTCCTACGTGCACAGAGTATCTGTTTTGTGGAGTAGGATTTCAGTTTCCAGATCCACCCCACCAGTGATCACCTTTCACTACTGCTAATTTTTTTTATTTTTATTTTTAAATGGTGTTTGAAAACTGCAAGTGTGTGTGTTATAACTGAGGGAGACTGAAGGTGTTCTGTAAGAGCTGCTGTGAACAAGGGCTTTGCCTAGAGAGCTAGTCCCTAAAGTTTTAAGTCCATCTGGACTTCACATCCACAAATGACAGTCTAAATTTTAAGGCCAGTTCTAGAGGTTTGACCATTGGGAAGCAGTGGACCAGCTCTCAAGCCAGGGTTTTGACATTATGTATCATGCTGTGTGCACATGAAAGGGAACTAAGGAGGTCCTCAGGCATGTTTAATTCATGTAAAATCAGTCTGGTACTACCATTCCATGTCTTCTGAGCAGTGATTGCGTCTCATCTGCTTCAGGTCCTTCTTCCTGCTCTCTGTAGTACCAGAAAAATCATGTCAATGGGAGAGCAGGATAGTTAGAAGCTGAAAATACAGTTTAAGGCCCTTAAGTCCAGATAGCAAATAGTACAAACAGCCACACTCCTGGTTATTAATTAAATTGAATCATACCAGAGTGTTTGGATAGTGCAGATCTGTGCCCTGAAAACAGGCACAGACTACTGGATGCTTTCATTTATCCATACAGACTTTATAAATGTTTCAAAGCTTTAGTTAAGGGAATATGTTGCAAAGAATTATCTAACTATGTAAAAATGTTTGTGGACACGTCACAAATAGAAATGGTCCAATAAACCACTGCAGCTTTGCACCTAACACATAATAAATGGAGCATATTATGCACTTTTAGCACAATGTAGATGTATAAATGTGTTTTCACTATTGATTATTATGCCCTTTTTGACAGTGTAAGTGTTAGAAATTTATTTCCTGGAAACCCCAAAAGAAAATAGTTATGATTCATTTTCTGTAAGAAGAAAATGTTCTTCACAAAATCTAACCTCAGGAATATTTGATTTTTCTTGTGATAGTTAATTTTCTTATACTGTAGAAAGCTTTCTGCTTTCTAGACCTCAAAACACAGGAATACATAACAAAAGTTCTGTTTCTCAGAAAGATCCTATTCTTCTGTTCCTGAAGGAAACAGGTAAAATACATTTGTCTCATGAATATGATTAGTAACAGCTGTCATGCAAAAAGAACAGATCAGAGCCTGCTGAGCTGAATAGAATTAGGTGATTTTTATTTTGTAAATATTTTGATTTTAGATACAGGACCTTCAGGAATAATTCCAGTGTGATATGGGAAACGTTGTCTACACTATTGGAACTTGGAGACTGGGTTATGTAGTTTTATTTTCTTTATTTTTCTCATGACTTTGGGAATAATGCAGAACCAAATATTTATTTTCATAGGGTATTTGTAGACACGACAGAGAAAATGACAACAAGCTCAATTTTTAATACAAAGGGTTCAAAGATGATGTGACCTTGTGTAGAATATTTAGCTTGTACCTGAATCGTGTGTCACAAATGCTGTGTGCCAGAGATGTTCTATGATGGTGAATGCTTATTTGTGAAGACCTTTATGCTTCAAGGAAATGTTGGTTGATTGAATAAAGTGTTGGGTGCAGAGCTAACACTGACAGGAGCGATAGGTTTAAAAGTCATCAGAGCCATGTTTTCTCAGCATTTGTATAAAGTTTTACTTTCCCTGCCACAGGCAATGTCTCTTTGTTTACCAGAGAAACCAGTAGTGAAAGAGCTGCTCCTGTCCAAATGTAGTTGCAGATAATACTTTCATACCAGGTGCTCAAACGTGCTTATACTGGAGGACAGCACACAATTGTCTTTGCTGAAGGACAGGAGAAAGAAGGAAATTACTTCAGTGTTTTTTGCTTTGCCATTCTGTCATCTGAGTGTTTTTGAATAATTATTGATGTACCTGCTGATTACTGAATTTAAATCAGTACATTGAAAATGGGGGCGGGAGAGGAGTGGGAGGAGGGCAAGAAGTTTTTATTAGTCTCTGAACCTCTTGTTTTGCAGTTTCTGTTGAGAGCACCTCTCTGATGGTCTCTGAGGCCGCTGATATCCCCGACCGCAGCTACTCCTCTGAAGATCTTTGTTCGCTGGAAGTTCAAGGATCTCTCCACTCTGCAGATCTTTCTCCCTACTGTATAACCCCCAAAGGGGCTGCAGAGCAGAGCTGCAGCCCCCTGGATTACCACACTCACTGCAGGTTCCACAGAACTCGCTCAGAGGGTTTTCCTGAGGATGACAGTTCCCACAGCCGAGCCTCCACTGACAGGGCTCACGGACAGGAAAAGAACTGTGCCCACGGCAGGCCCTTGGACTGTTCCTCAGGGAATTACAGCCCCTCAGAAAGAGAACTGCAGAGTTCTGCTCGAGAGAGCAATGCCACGGCACCTTTGAAGCAAAAGAAAACCTGCTGTGTGGACTTCAGCCAGCCTGTCCCTTTGCAGACCTCTCCCTGTTTTGGGCCTGCAAATACTTCATCACACACAAGTGGCCCTGAGACTGCTGTGCAGCAGCACATTAGAAAACACCCAATTTCAAACATAGTCCGATCAAACAGTGCCCCCGTGTCATGGTCGTCTGTGACAGAAGGTAGGTGTGGTACCACAGGGCTGCAAACATGGAACAGATGAGTGGTGTGTGATTTATGCAGCAAATGCTGCTGCTGGGAATTATATACAACGTTCCAATGAGGACTGACTTATGTGTGAAGGCTTTAGTTCCACGCATATTTTCTAAATACGAAAATTTTTAAGAATGGAAATGCGAAAATTGACAGAGTGAAATTAATTTTGGCTTTTCTAAATTTCCCCGTTCTTTCTGTAATGCTCAGAAAACCATGTGTTGGGTAGCTGTTTCCACCTTTCAATTACTGTTACATTGAGAGGCTGAACTAAGAAGTTGAATGGTAGCTGCTGTTACCTGAGCTGTCACACGTGTAATACAGCAGGTTGTGTTTCCCAAAGGTGACACCGACGTTGAGAGTATTGGGGCATGTCAGGGGCAGTCAGTGTGACCAGTGGCAAGTTGGAGTGTAGGGTGAAAAGCTTTAAAGGACAAAGAAATGAAAATGAGGCACATGACAGGATGATAAATGGAAAGGAAAGCTTTTGGCTGTGGAGGATAAGTATCTTGTGCTATAAATCTCCTTTTAGACAAGTAGGGAAGACAAGAGTAGATGCTGGCTGGACGGTGTATCTTCATTAAAAAAATCTGCTTGTTAGTGAAAAAGAAAGGGTTGATTTAGTAGAGAATAGTAGCAGGAATGTAGAACTGTCTAAACCATTTGGAAAGGGCAGGTTTTACAAAAGGATGTAACCTGTTCAGAGAGGTTCAGAAGGGTAACCTGGAGAAGTGGCTTGAAAGTAAAGATTTTAAAGCTTTGTAAGATGTCAGAGATTGTGCTGTTACAAGATCTGTTCCTTGGGCTTTCTAAGGGATCTACAGGAAGAATCATGTGACTAGCTCAGCAAAACTAGACAAAATGTTGAAATAACTAGTTTCCTTTAGGATGACAGATTGGTTCTGTTACACTCCTTGCATCATTACTCTGTAGATTTCAGACCCCTCATACTTAGCTCAACAGCTGAATGTGGTTTACCTTTAGAGATCCAGCCCCCGCAGCTGGGCCAGGAGGAGCAAATCTTTAATCTAGAAGTCTGCATTTATTTTATGACATTTACTCTGCTAGGATGTATGTGCTATGAAACTGCTGTGCAGGCATTAAATAGGAATTTCTGAATCTACTGTGCCAAAGACAAGAACAGCCCTTTCTCTTCTGGATGAGGCTCTGCAGCTTTGCAATATTGTGCTCCACGTGCTGGGTGAGCAGTGTTGGAGAGGTTGCTGTAGGCAGCCGTGTCCACGTGTTCTTGCTGCCTGCTGGGACACCTGGTACAACAGATGCTCTGCCTTCTTTTTCAATGTATCCTAAATACATTCATCATCTTTTCTGGAGAAGTGGCATTGGGGGACGCGAGTTGAACATCACTGAGATGTAACTGGGCTCACCAAAAATTGTAACAGAGGCAGAGAAGGTCCTAGAAACACGTATACACAAGGGAGGGGCAGTCAAGAAGTGACTGTGCTGACCTCATTTGCTGTTCTTTCACTGCCCACAGAAGACTCTTTAAAATGAAATCCTTAAGAGAAGCAGTTGAGTCTAGATATGCGTATTTCTTTCATGTATATGTTTGGCAAACTACAGTTTGCAAAATTTTAGTCTGTGAAGATTTTTACAACTTCACATTGCTTCCCCTTCCTCTTCCTTTTATTGAACTTTATTTGGAAATCATAATAGGTTAGAAGCAGCCCTATTCTAATATCATTACTGGCTGTGTTTGTAGCAGCCCTGAAGCATATTTTTCCTAAGCTGTGACAAACAGCTGAAGTTCTTTACAGTCCTTGTAACTTTAAAAAGGCATTTGATCCAGATTTTTCACAACTGACTATTGGTTCTACTCACTGTAGAATTTTAAAATATATCCACGGAGTTGACCAATAGGCAAAAATTAAGGAGGACCACTGAGCTCCCTCCATCAACCCAGAAGAAAAAGGGTTTTCAGATTTTTTTCAGTAGCATACTCTTTTCTTTTAAAATTGTCCTGAAGTAGAAGAACTGGTCAAATAGACTGACTCTATAAAAGACAGAGCTGGAACTACATATTGTTAATACTAATGACTCATGTAATGGACTGTGGATTTTGGAGAACTGAGACTGGAGGAGCTTCAGCCATGTTCACAAAAGGCAAAATACAGTGGGCAGATTATACTTGTGGTTTGGGTTTATCTTAAGACCCAGTCTTTCTACTTTAAGAAAAAATTATTAATTTGTCTTCTGACTCATCTCCACATAAAAGCCAATGTGAAGAGATTCAGAAGCACAACCTTGATATTTCCTGTGTAGACTTTTGTTAAATGGGTTTTGCATGTTGCTGTGATTGCACTGCCCATAGTTTGGAACATTAATTATTTGACATGCAGATGTGGCACATGTGTGACACAACAGCAATGAGATCTAAGAAATAAATAATCTGGAAATTTTAGTGCTGGCATAAAACTCTGAGCTTTTAGGTCAATAAAACACAATTCATGTGCTTCAAGCACATCTTGACGTGATGGGGTCTTTGTGGTATGTTCAGTCAAATAATTCTCCCATTAATACTTTAATGTGAACTTGATTATTTTTTGAAATATCTGTCATTTCTAGTGGAGAAATTATAAATGAAAGTTTAATTTAATAGGTGCCTTTATAGTCCCTGTATAGTCCCTGGACAACACAAGTATGGTGGGTTCACATACAATCTCCGTCAGACATAGTTCCCTCTTTAAAAAATCATTTAAAAGTTAATAGTTTGCATGTTTTTTCTGTCCTTTCCCTGTAAAGTTTATCTTATCAAAGTAAGACAAAATCAACCTCTAACACAGAGGTTAACAAACCTAACCTAACAAACACAGATATTTGCTACAATAAATTTAATTTATAATCAGCTCTGATAGACTGTGTGGCGGTATCAGTTGAGTGTCTGAATGATTATTGTAGTGTTTGTGTTCCATATAATTCAGGGTAATGTCTAGTAGTGTAGTTTTGACTCGCTGCAAGTACATTAAGCAGTATAGTAATGGATGGGAAGACAGAACCTCTGAAGTGTCTCTCTTAATAAGCATGCCATGATTCATGTGCTGCAGTACTTCAGCATAATAGAGCAAATTAAAGACAGAATAGAAGCTGTCTCTCCTAATTTCTTACAGATTTTCTATGTTTGTAGCATCTTAACATCTGTTTCCTTCATTTAATTATTCACTCTACCAGAGAGGATTATATGGGCTTTTCATTATAAACTGTCCCTGGAGATATGGAAGAAAACCTCTTCTAATCCACCTGGAAGTTCAATAGAGTTTTCAGTCTTGGAAGCAGATATAAACAGCCATAGCATAAAAGTGAAAGCTTATTCCATCTTGACTGTCAGAAATGGAAAAGACTACAGTGATACAGTACAGGGTGATCTCATAGGTGTTGATCCTTGTGTTGGCATCCCAGAAACTGTCCTTGGCAACTGTGTCCAAAGCTGTTTGCAGATGCTCCATAACCCCCTGGTATTGACTGGCTCATCAGGTACCACAGTGGTCACCCACCCATTAATTTAATCAGGGGTGTATGACATTCATCCTGCAAAGAAATGAGAATATGAAAAAGGAGGTAGAAATACTGAATAAAAGGCTGGTTTTGTAGAAATAAGAGGGATCCATCTTTTCGGTTTTCCCATTTTCCTGTATAAACTCTGTCTGCCAAGGAAGTATAGAAAAATCTGAGGATTGCCCCTAGTAGGGAACCTTCCAGAGCTTCAGTGCTTAGGCCTGAAATATTTAGGATTACGGAGGAAGCCATCAAGCAGGAGCCTTATCTTCCTATTTGTATCTGTTTAACACCTCATAGGACATTTCTGTGTGTAGTAGCTTCTCTTTATGAATATTGAAAGCAGTGTTTCTTCTGAGTAGTTTCATCCTGTAAAGGAGATAGTAAAAGATTCCAATGTATTTTAACTTGTTTTGGGCAGAGGACAGCACGGGTTGACTTTGCTCCTTCTGTCTCTCTCTCTCTGGTTAAAGGTGATAATTGTGCCTGGACTCCTGTATGCAGCCAGTGCCAAGATGCAGGATTATCTCCAGCTACAGTAGAAACAGGTGAGGATCAATTTTCTAAAGCAGGATATTTCCTTCTTTTATTTTAACAATAATTAAAAGCTTGTGATAGAGAAATGAGCTTTAGAAAATTTGGGGCAGAAAAGCCACTTAGCTAACAGCATACATATATGGTGTACAAAGCTGATGGAACCAGCCTTGAATGAAAATAAATGCTGCTCTCTTTTAGATTAGCATTTTTGCTTTCCCTGTGTTTCTTACTAATGTCTCTTCTATTATTCACTGCATATAATTTTCGAGGCCTAGAAACAAGCAGAATTTTAGACTTAAGTTTGGGGAAGGGGGGAGCTGGGCCTAAAACTTTACAAATTACATATGCAATACGGAGTAGGTCATGTTTCTCCTTATCAGTAATATCAACTGAAGTCTCTGAAGGTAGAGGTAACAAAAACATCTGTGATTTATGAAATACTTTAATACCCACCCACTCATTCTCAAGGCAGTCCTCCTTGGTCATGGGAAAGTCTTAGTCTTGACTCCTGGTTAAACTTACCCATTTTGCAGTGTTTCCTTGATTGCATGTTTTTGCTACTCTTCAAACAAAACAGACATTTTATGACAAAATAAAAACTTTGTGACAATATTTGTTTTGCCTTTTTTCTTTTCTTTTTTTTTTCTTTTTCTTTTTTTAAACTATTACTTTAAAGATATTCTTCCCCCCCTTTTTTAGTTGCTGTTTCTGGTTCTCATATGGCTGCCTCTGCCTGTCAGCATTCTTTGAGCAGTTTCCTACCAACTGGAAAACAGAGGGATACACGGAAAATTGACCTGCACCTAAAGCCAAAGGCTTTTCACACAGTCTCAAAAGAGCGGCCACACTCCTTAGTGGACCTAAAGGCCTATAAAGACACAAAAATTTTAGTGGCAAAATTTTTGGAACATTCAAACTGTAATCTCCCTCCAGAAGTGCGTCACGTAGTGAACAGCATCCGCTCAGTAATTAAATCTGATGAGAGACACATGGAAGAAGCCATCTTCAGTGCCAATATTATAGACCAGGTAGGCCACCTATGATGTGTTCAACTTCGACAGACAAGCCTTATTTAAATGTTTCTGCTGTTTTAACTACTTCAGACAATTGCTACAGAAGTTCTTTTATAGTAACATGGTACATTTTCATAGTAAGGAATAGTTTATATTTATTGGGCAGCAGTGCATTTTACAGTGAAGCATTATAAATGCATTTAAAATCACTCAGCTTGGCCCAGTAAGAACGTAGGAGATCTGTAGGGAACTGATTTACATGTTTATAATCATCCTCTCCTATCTCTAATGTCTTTCTGGACCTGTGACTGTTCCATACATCAATTTGGGATGTATATATACAGAGATATCCAGAATTGACTTGGATCTGTTGTTTTTTGAGGCAAATGTATTTGTGCAGCGTAAGCTACTGGCTGAAAAGAATGGGTAGATATCCAAGCAGGGATATCCATCTCAACAAACAGTGCAGGCCAGAAGAATTATAATGGTCCTTGCTGGTTTTAAGAATTGAGAAATTGTGCTTTTCCAAATGAAAGAATAATGCTGCTTCTCACCCTGAGTGACAATAAAACAGACATTAGGTGTGGAAGGAATCCTATAAACTGAGGGAATTAGTAGTGGAAGCACCTTTTAATATCTCATGCATGTTTAATAATACATCATTTTTTGCAGGAAGAAAGGTGGTGAATCACCTCTTGCAAGTATTGTTACCAGAATGACAGATACAGATGTTCTTTTACCTTGTCCAATTGGAAAAGCAGAATTCTCTTAGCACTGACTAACCACATTCAGGATGCCTGTAGGGTTTCCAGAACTTGACAGATGACTAAGGATACACCCCAGGGGGCTGTTTCTCTCCCTTCTGAGACATTGTAATTTCTGGGATATTAGTCAGCTGATCCCAAAATGAGGGAGATTGTCTAAGTGTTGAACTAGGATGTGGTAACGCTTGAAAAGCACGTGAGAGAGTTTGATGTGCAGCAGGAACCGTGCAGCACTTAAAGCTTGCTGCAAGACTGCTTTTGCTCCCTGTGAGGCAGAACACAGCAGCAGCACTGGATCAGTGCCTGTGCAGTCACACAGACACAAAAGCTGCACTGTCATGATGTCCTTAGTGCTGGCAGTATGGGGGGAAACTGTAATGATTTTATTGCTTTACAAAATGTATAGCCCATTAAATCCCCAAGGTTAGAAAGCTGAAAACAATTTTATGTGAAAAAACCCAGTTGCTCAAACTTTGAGTGCTTATGTAGATCATAGAGCCAGAACTAGAAATCAGTAGCCCAGTTTTTGTCCTGTATGGATTTCTTAGATCCAGGGAGACATACCTTTTTTCCCATTAAAGAAATCATTTTAGTAGTTATATTTTTCAGACAAAAAGACATTATTAATTCACGAAAGCCCAGGGCATCCCAGCAATCTACTTAAGAGTTCACAAAATTTTTGGTAAAAGAGTTGTGTAATTCAGAATTGTGAGGTAGCTTAACAATTCTATTAAAACTAAAATGCTTGTTTACCAGGCTTTGCAAGGTTTCAGTTGTCTCCCGCCCTCACAAAGCTGGTGAAGTATCTCTCTCCTAAAAGAAACAGAATAATTTGCTCCAAACTTCTATTTTCCAATTACAAGAGAGAGCTGCTACCTTTTCCACAGATTTCCTTGCAAATACTTGTTTGCAACCTGTGTGGACAGCACCCTGCAGTGCAGGCAGAACCTGGCTGTGCCTTCCAGCCCTGAGCCCTGAGCAGGTGGAAGGACAGAAGAGAAGTGGAAGGAGCTCTGGAGGGCTGCACAAACCCCCATCTCCTCTGGAAGGGTTCCATCATTGGACAGCTTAAATGAAATATTATTCAGAGACTGAACCTTTTAAATGAAAACCTTTCTTACCCCGTTTCCCCCATTTGTTCCTTCTCCACTCCTGCCCTTTCAAACAGGTCATTACGAGTTCCCAGCAGAACGTGAAAACCTCCAGAAAGCGACTTCGGGAAGATCTTCACCTCCAGAGCTGTGGGGCTCTGAGCTCCCCAGTTGCCTTCTTACGTAGGTCCCACATCTCCCGAGGTTTGGAGCGGGACAGGCCCCACAGTTTAATTGGAGTTTGCCGGGAGACCATCCTTTGATAACGTTCCCAGGTACGTGATTCCAGCAGAGAGAATTGTGGAAGAAACCAGGACTGGGAGAAATACAAGTAGTGGATGACTTAAAAAGGAAAAAGTGTCTTCCCTTGGAATTCCACTTCTTTCCAACAGCAGGATGAGAACACCTGTTTTTCTGAATGTAAATCTCAGCCTTGATTTTTGCAAAATTTTAACTGATTTATTAGTTAAGTCATAACGAGTGTTTTCCCAACTGGAAATGCGTTTATGTCACTGTACTTACAGAAATGCTACTGATGCTGCCCAGCATTTCTTGAAAACCATTGCAAACCCACCAGAGACTGGCTGTACAACTTTAAAGTTGTATTTATTTAATGTACCTCAAAGTGTTTTAACTATTGTCAGTGTTTTAATAAAAAGTATTTCTGGACTTTGCTTTTTCAACAACTGATTTGGATAGAAATGTAAAGGGGATCCACACACACATAACAGTGCTGCTTCTAATCCATTTTCTCAGTGTCCTTCATTCCAGACTAACTGATCTGTCTGATTAAAACTCCTCCCCCTCCCCAGTGTTGCCCTCTGAACCTACAGGAATGGCTGCAGTGTGGTTTATTTTTGCTTTGTTCTGAATGGTCATGACTTTATTCCAGCAGTAGCATCTGGTACTGAGAAATGAGGCTTAATTACTCTGCAGTGTGTGGCCAAAAGATGCATTAGGGAAGAAGACTTTGAAATTCTGCATTTCCAAAAAGCACCTTTCGCAAACTTTTTACCAACACCAATAGCAAGTTAGATGAATTTTTATCTAGCAGAGCCTTGAACGTTTTTTCAAAAAGAATTTTTACTCCAATTAGTAGTTTTTGACAATTTTATTACTAAAACATGTCCTTATGGTTCCGCTGTGTTTATGATTTATTTAACATTGATCTTAAAAAAAATATCAGAAAGTAAATATCATCCACACTAATTTGATTACCAGCATAAACACAGGTCTGCCAGCAACGTCTTCCAGTGCAAGCTTCATCCTGGCTCTCAGAGGAAATTGGAAAGGCCTTAAACAAAAGGTTCTCATAAAGAACCTACCCCAGGTTGGTGTTTCGGGGGGTTAATTGTTTTGCAGCAGTGCTTGGCAGGAGCGTTACTTTCCATTTGAGGTTTAATCATATACTGGTTTCATTTGTGTCACTCTGAGCTGGGCAGACATCCTGTGAAAAGGTCACAAAGGAATGTAGCTGAAGATGGGTAGTTTAAGTCTTACAGAATCATCCATTTTAATGTATTTTAATTATAGCATGCTCCTGTATTGATGTGAAGTTACAGTGACATCCAGTGGCAACAAGGTTTGCTAATTAAAAGCATCTACTCTCAAGATAGTAATGAGATACAAATTCCTAATTCAAGAGATTAATTCCCTTTTAAAAATTAACCTGTGACCTTTGCAACTGCACTTAGATGAAGAATTAAATGATCTTCCACTTGGATTTTTTTACTATGTAAACTTACACAACAAACAAAATAAGCAAGCTTCCTTTCTTAGTTCAGATTTATTAGTGATAGGTTAATTCTTTCCTAAGGTCAGTTGCATGCAACACACTACTCCTTGAAGTACAGTCATCTAAAGCTCTTTAGTTACTGCATGGTAAGGCTTCTTAAGTCACAGTGTATTTTCTTCAAGGCCTTGGCCAAAAGAAAAAAGTATTAGACAAAGTTACACCAATTAACATTTATCTCATAAGGAATACAACTTTACTACTAGGTTTGTTATCTACACACATTCTAATACTGCTGATGGTGCTAGGTTATTTGTCAAAACAATTTACATTCAGAACACATTGCCTTAGGAATAAGAATGCTTTATAAAAGACAGAAACAGGTAAGCATGGCTTTCCCATTTTGAGCTAATATGAACAAAAAAGTAATATGCAAAAATTAAAGGAAAAAAAACCCCAGCCCAACACATACAGTACACAACCTGTGCAATAAGTTATCCATGAAATAACTCTGTTAAATCATAAAAATCACAAGCATTAAAAATAAATATGTATCTAAATAAATATTTTGATTTTAATCTTGTGGCAATTATTCTTTATTTAGCACATGAAACACTTGTTACATGTTTATGTTCACACCTTGCCAAACAGGTTACACTTGTCATAACAATACCAAGTACTACAGTGGTTTTCTTTACATTAGAATCTAAAAGTTTTAACTGCACACATTCCTTTCCACTGAAATACCACCTATTCAGCACCAGTGTTAAAATTATGCAAAGTCATCAGTATTGGACCACTTTATGGGACTGGGATTTTTTTTAACTTGAGGCAGCCAGAACTTTCTCTAATTGCTTCTCTTTGCCATTTCCTGCAGTCTCATTCATCAAATATTCACATTCACTGTGTTATCAAACAAGACAGACATACATCACTCCACATAAAGGTTACAAATAAATATGTTTTAACTTCTATGAGAAAAGGGTTTAGAAGATGTTGCAAAATACTTAAATGTTTACAAAGATTTTTGTCAGTGATTATTGTCCTTGACCATCCTTCTCAACACTTTTTGTCAAAGAAATAGAAAGGAAGGAGAGAAAAGCAGAGACACCTGTCTGTTCCTTGTTCTGGAGTCCTCGGGTCAGCTTCCAAGCCTTTCATTCATACAAAATACAAAATTCTCTTCAGCTATGACAGCTTCAGCTTGGATGGAAAATGCTAAATGTACAGGGGGGTCTCCTGCCCAGTTAGAAGCCTGAACATGGCCGCTGGCATAGTCTTCATGTGTATCTGTCAATTAATTACACACAAATTAACACAGTTGGTTCTAGTTTAAAATAATCCATAAGGCCCCATCTCTCTCCTTGTGCTCTAAGTGCATTTTTTGTCCTGGTTTCTACAGATGTGAGTGTTTACTAGAGTTTCTAGTTCAAAGTTCTCTGATTTCAAGATGTTGGTTCACTGTCTTTGCTTTTTTGTGGGGGCACTTTTATTATTTATTGATGGCAATGACAGGATGCAACATCGTATGACACCTAAACACTTTCTATTGTTACACTCCGATTACAACCCTTGAAAAAGAAGCAGCACAAACCTCTGAAAATTCATTCTACTGTTCTGCTATTAACTGAACTTAAGATTTTTTTATTCTACCTTCCTTCCCTGTGGGAATGTAATTTCTTATGTATTTCCTCCTAATTGAAATATGACCCTCTGAACACAAAACTTGGACTTTACCACCTGATGTTTAAATGCCAGGCAAGAGTTTGGTGGAGCAGGTTCTCTTGTGGCTCCTGTACTTCAGTTCTTTCTACAAGGAGAGCTGTGCTCAGTGCCAGGGGGATTTTACAGATGGGAGGGTTAAAGGCTCAGTTAATGAGGGTTCTGTCAGAACTGTACCAATCAGACAACACAAGAGGAAGGAAAGGAAACTTTACTGATAATATGGACCCTCACCAGCCACGTGCTGCCTTGACATCTTGTTCTCTTCATGCTGTAAAGAAGTTCCAAGCTGTCCTCTCCTGTTTAGTGAGGAATTACCCAGCACAGAGGGACATGAAGGCAGGGTGGGGCTGCTGAAAGGTGTGGCTTTGCTCCTGGCAACGGGCACATTCTCTGGATTATTTGTCAACTATCACTTTCCACAAGGAAACCAGCTTGCTTTAATTTTTGGCAAAGGAACTAGTGGGAGATCTGGCCAGTGTTGTGTATGAGACTACCACTAAATTCAGAAGGGATTTTGATAAACTGGAGGGTCTTGCTCATTTGTTGCTGATTTCTCTAGAAAAGAGAACTCTTTCTCTGGAAAGAGGTGTCTTAGCTTATTCCCAAAGTTTGGAAAATAAATTATTAAAATGTCTATCAATTTACGTCTCTCAGCCCTTTGAATATTAATTTATTTCTATGGCAGATACTGTAGTGATAAGCCAAAAGGCATTTCACAGCCAACATGCTTGAGTGATTTATTCTTTTAATCAACTGGTTTAATTCAAACAGTAGGTTGAAAGTACAGAATTATGCCAGGAGCTTTTGAAAATGAGTGAAAAAAAGTGCAGTGAATGTGCATCTAATTGTTCAAAAAATATTTTTTTCGTTGTTCCTCATTAGGGCCTAACTCCAGTTTACTGAGGTGGTGGTTTTAATGCTGCGTTAAGACATTCTTTTCAACCGAAACATACATTTTTTCCAACTCTTTTAATTCCTTGATAAAATACTTGCTTCCTTACCTCTCCTACTGAGTTAGACAATGCTTGTACAATCTTCTCATGAGCTGTAGCAACGACGCTTTGGCCATTGATCTCGATAATACGATGTCCTACCCTGACCCCTCCCCTCTCTGCTATTCCACCTCGCATCAAGCTGCAAATCTGCCAAGAGAAAGCAAAGTTTACTGAAGGTCAGAAATGTCATAATGTAACAGTTACTGGGATTGAATACATAATAACAAATGGTGACACCATAAGGATTCCAGAAGATGCTTGTGGAAAGTACTCATCAATACTGTGAGTTTTTAAATGTTGGGCTAGTGGTTTGTTAGGGTTTGGTTTATTTTCAAGATTTCTGCTAATTACAATTTTCATTTTCATTCTCTTGGGCCGAGAACATAAAAATATCACAGTGACACAGGTAGTAGCCATGCAATAGGAGGGGAAAGTTTTATCCACTGCCAGAACAGGAGAAGAAAGTGATTTTTAAATATTTCTGACTGTATACTGGAAAACATAAAAAATGATAAAATCCAATCTACAACAGCAATTTTTTTCACATGGAAAAAAATTATGACATAAAGCTTAATCCTTAACCCTGTGCAAATGCAGGTTTAGGCTGAAGGAAGCTGGCATACAGACATTCTATCCTGAAAGCTGGAGGTCTGTCAAAAGGGTCACAAAGACATAAGGAAGATACAAGGAAAGATCTACCTGAAAGATCTAAAGAAGAAATTTTTTATGATGAGGGTGGGGAGGCCCTGGCACAGGTTGCCCAGAGAAACTGTGGCTGCCCCTGGATCCCTGGAAGTGTCCAAGGCCAGGTTGGACGGGGCTTGGAGCAACCTGGGCTAGTGGAAGGTGTCCCTGCCCATGGCAGGGGATGGACCAAGGTGATCTTCATGGTCCCTTTCAACCCAAACCATTTTAAGAGTCTATGAAATGTGCAATTCTGTTTCTTTTTACAGGCTGCCCTCAGCATAGTGAAGTTTGACATCTTGTTTCCTGGGCCTCTGCAGAATGGAGATGGGGCTCTGCTCTCCAGGGTCACTGCTTCCCTCCACAGCCATGGGGAGCTCAGGAGGAAGAAGGCAAGTTAGACCACTCTCAGCTGGCAGCTGAGGTACCAATAAAGAACAGCACAGAAGTGTTGAATTTTATGCCCTGTACAGCAGGGTAATAATTCTACAAGAAGAGTTACATTCACCAGACACAAGTCCCAGCAGACATTTCCACTTAAATTATTCTGAGGTTGCCATGTGTGTAGTGTGCAGGCAGAAAGAAAAATCTCATTCCAGTATGGGGAATTTAAAAGACTGTTCCCTCCTCACCAATGGTATCTGTGCTGCAACAGGATCCTCCCTGGCACAATGGACAGCTGTGTATTAGACAGAAATTGTTGGTAAATTACTTAAGAAGACTAAGCTCATGCATCACATAAGGCATATAATGTATAGCTTGAATCTCTGGAACTAAGCAGAGTTTAGCAGTGCTGAGATTTAGCTTTTGTTTACTGAGAAAAACCTATTCTTGAAGGGAAAGAAATGAGTGCTGGAGCATCCAATAATGGCTGTTGCTGCAGTTACTGTCAATGGTTAGAATTATATGCCAAGAATTATGATTTGCGATCTGGTCATTTGCTCAGAGCTAAATACAAGTATGATAAGATGTGGCTTGTGTCCCAGTGAGTTTGTAATCTAATTCAGAAACACAGGATGTGGGGAGATGGCCAATCTGGGATGTATTGAAGGTGAAACATTTTCTATAGTTGACTGGAATTCTTTTCTGTATGTCACTAGCAGTTTTCTTTAAATTCCTCTTCAGAAAAAACAATGCTATAAAAAATGAAATCCCTGCTTACTCCAAGTTCAGACTGATATAGGGAGTAAAAGATAGTTATTCTTCATTTATAAAAAGCTTTTCTCAGCATTCAGGAAAAAAACATTCTTCCTGCAGTGAGATTTATCTTCCACTGTGCCATCTCTAGTGCCTGAGTGTTACCCACTGTGGTTCATAAAGTATTTCTGATGGGCTCCTATGGATAGAGGCACCGTCAGACCCTTCACAGAACTGTGTCCTGAATTTCAGTCACATACAATATATTGTTTTGCAGTCTACCTTCTAATCACACTGTACTACACAGATCTTTTACAGAAAGCTCAATTCATCACTGTGAGAACAGCAGTTCACTCCTTGCTGTCGGGGAACATGTGCAGTAATCGGAAAGGACAAACAGCAGCATGTACCAAAAGAAACACTGTAAATGTATTTTGCATGGTGTAAATGAATATAGAGACAGTACAGCCAGCTGAAATAAAAGCTTTTGGAGCAAATGGAAACGTGACCCCTCACCCCACTGGCATAAAGCAAAAGATAATGGCTTGCTTATCTATGCAGAGCACCTTTCACTGCGTGGCTCTCAGAGCACTTCTAATACCATCTCTTTAATACCACCAGTGAGTTTCTTCTTTCTATCAACCTCGGAAATAGAAAGTGGTCTTCTCATTCAAGAACATGATCCCTCTCCAGGGAAGGCAGTCAGCTTCCTTTTTGTGAGCATTAACTCTTTGAATGAGGTAGAAGGAGAAGCAGCTGATGGTTCTGCCCAGCCTGCCAGGGCCTGGGAAGCTGCAGCCAGAGAGCACGTGGGCACAAACACACTGTACCCACAGCACACATTTCCCTGGCTCCTGGATTTGCAAGGAGCTAACTCAAAGCAGCCTTCAGTCTTCTGTCTCCAGCCAGTGGAGCTTATGGCACGTCAGGCTGACAAGTTTAAACTGAGCAGTACCACTAAGTAAATATGATTTTATTCAGCCAGGACTCTTTAACATGCTCTGTTTGTTGAACATGGCAACAGCTGTAATATTATT